CCCCTTTTTTCTCCTTCACTTTCTCTCTCTTTCTGCTCCCTTCTCCCTCCACCCTCTCCCCTTCCTCTTCCTTTACCATTTACCGTTCCCCCTTTCACTCTCCTTCCTTACCCCTTCTCCTCCTCCTTTCCCCCTCCTCCCTTTCTCTCCCCCTCCCCTCTTTCTCCCCCTCCACCCCCTTCCCTCCCCTTCCACCATCTACCCAAACCCCTACCCTCCCCTCCCCTTCCACCTTTCCCCCCTCCACCCTCCTCCCTTCCACCCCCACCCCCTCTCCCCTTCCACCCTTCCACCCCAGCACCCTCCTCTCCCTTCCATCCTCCTCCCCCTCAACCCCCTACACCCCCTACCCCCCTCCCCTCCCTTTCCACTCCCCCACTCTTCCCTCCCCTTCCACCCTCCACCCCTTCCCTCCCTCCCCCCTTCCATCCTCCTCCCCTCCCCTTCCATCCTCCTCCCCCTCCACCCCCCTCCACCCCCCCCCCCTATCGTCTTAAAAGGCGTTTGACGCCGCCAGGACCCTCTCGCCGAAGACATTAGCGGCGCCATCATTAACCCCCGATTATGGTGCCGATTACGTGTCCCTCTCGAGTTCCCCGGGAGGGGGTGGAGGGTCCCGGTCCCGATGGAGGGGTGAAGGGAATGGAGGTGAGGGGAGCGGTTGAGGGGGTGAGGGAGGGGGTCGTGAGGGAGGGGAGTTGTGTCGTCTCGTACCTCTCCCCCTCCCCCCATACCCCAACCACTCCACTTTTTTCTGTTTTTTTTTTTTTTTTCTTTCTTTTCTTCTTCTCTTCTTCTTTTTACTTTCTTCTTATACCTGCGGGATTTTTGTGTTTCTCTTTCTATCTTGTCTTACGTGGTTGTATCTTTCACTGTAGCACTCTCTCTGTCTCATTCTCTTTCTCTCTTTCTCTTTTTTTCTCTTCTCCCCTGTCTCTCTCTCTCTTTCCCTGTTTTTTTCTCTTTCTCTCTATTTCTCTCTCTATATCTATCTATCTATCTATCTCTCGTCTCCCTCCTCTTATCTATATCTATCTATCATCTATCTATCTATCTATCTATTCATCTATCTATCTATCTATCTATCTATCTATCATCTTCTATCTTCTCTCTCTCTCTCTCTCTCTCTCTCCTTCTCTCTCTCTCTCTCTCTCTCTCTCTCTTCTTCTCTCTCTTTCTCTCTCTCTCTCTCTCTCTCTCTCTTCTCTCTCTCTCTCTCTCTCCTCTCTCTCTCTCCTCCTCTTTCTCTTCCTCTCTCTCTCTCCTCTCTCTCTCTCCTCGCTCTCTCTCTCTCTCTCTCTCTCTCTCTCTCTCTCTCTCTCTCTCTCTCTCTCTCTCCTCTCTCTCACACACCACACACACACACACACACTCATCTTCCACACCAAACTTCACACCCACCCTCACACTCACGACTCTCCCTACATTCACCCCTTTGACTCACCACACCCACCAAACTCACCACACTCCCTCACACTCACCACCCTCATCCACCTCATCACCACTCGCCTCCTTCACCACCTCACCCGCCCTCATCACACTGCCTCCTTCACCACCTTAACCACCTCATCACCTCACCGCCCCTCATCTCCACCTCAACACTCATCACCACTCATCACCACCATCCTCACTCATCACCACTCGCCTCACTCACCACCCTCCACATCACTCGCTCCACCTCAACCACCTCATCACCACTCATCACCACCCAACACCATTTCCGAGATCATTTCCGCCGTCCTCATCACCACGCCGATTACCTCTGCAATCACAAAGTCATTAAGTGCAACAATAGCAACAAATATCTCTCCCTCATCACTCCCTTCAGAGAGAAAGTCCAATTAAGGGTTTAAGAGGTCCCTTCCCTTCTCCCCTATGTCTTCTTTTCTGCCTTATTTCCTTGTTTCTTCTCACTCCTTCACTTCCTGTTTTCGCTCGATCTTCTTCTCCAATTTCTTTCTTCTTCTTCTTTTCATCTTACTGTTTGTTTTCTTTCTTCTCATAATATTTCTTCGTCTTCTTCTTTTCTTACTATTTGTTCTCTTTCTTCTCATAATATTTCTTCGTCTTCTTCTTCTTCTCGTTTTTATTCCTTCTCCGTCCTTCTTTTTCTTTTTTATCCTCTCCATCCTTGTTTTTTCTCTTCCTGTTCCCACTCATTCGTCTTCTCATAATATTTCATATTCTTATTATTATTCTCTTTCTTTTTCTTTTCCTTCCTCCGCTTCTCCTTCTATTACATCCTCCTCCTCTTCCTCTCCTTCCTTCCCCTCCCCTTTCTCCCCTTAACCTCTTCCCCTTTATCCCCCCCTACACACTTTCTTTATCTTTCCTTTTCTCCTCTTCTCCTCCTATTACCCTCTCCTTCACCCCCCTCTTCTCCTATTACATCCTCCTCCTCTTCCTCCCCTTCCTCCCCTTCCCCTTATTCCCCTTTATCCTCATCCCCTTCACCCCCCTTCCCTCCTCCCCCTCCCCTATCCTTCCTTCACCCCCACCCCCTATCCCTCCATCACTCCCCTTCCCTCTACCCTTCATCCCCTTCACCCCTATCCTCCTCCCCCCCCCCTTCCCCCTCTTCACCCCTCCCTTCACCACCACCACCCTTCTTCCCCCTCCCTTCCCTCTACCCTCCTCCCCTACACCCCCTCCCCTCCCCCAACCGTTGTCTGTTGGAAGGGCCTTATCAGATTTACCTTTGTCGTGGCCCGGAGAAGTAATTGAAAATCTGAAATGAAGGAAAAGCTCTTTGTATCCTCTTCTTGTGTGTCTTTGTTTGTCTTTTTTTTCTTGTTTTGGTTTTTGCTTTGTTTGTGTGTGTCTAATTATTTTAGCTTTCTTTTCTTCTTCTTTTTCGTCTTCTTCTTCGTATTATTATTAATATTGGTATTATCCTTTTTATTATTATCATTATTATTATTATTATTGGTATTATCATTATCATTATCATTATTATTATATCATTATTATTATCATTATTATTTATTATTATTGTTGTTGTTGTTGTTATTATCATTATTATCATTATTATTATACTTCTGCTTCTTCTTCCCTTATTAGTTTTTGTTTCCTTTCAAAAGCAATTAAAATTCGTCACACATTTAAAATTAGATAAATATACACACACACACGAACACACACACACACACACACATACACACACAAACAAACAAACACACAACCACACGCACAAACACACATATAAACACACAAACAAATATTCATACACACAATACACATATGTATCTGTATCCATTATATTGACTGATATACGTTTATTTGTTAGAATATACAGCAAAATGAATAGCAATTAGAACTTTAGGTAAATATTTAAAAAAAAAAATAGTTTCCCCTCTCCCATTCTCTTTTTTTAACAATGAGTCCAGTAATATTCATGGAGTGTTGGAACCATTCCAGGGATTATAATGGATATCCTTTGAGTTTTGTTGTAATTTTACTTTTTTTTTCGCATTGTCATCAAACTAAATCCCTTAGTATTCACACTTGAGCACGGCGCGGTACGTACATGCGCACACAAACATGATTTCTGTATACCTGTGTATCACTCTTTTAAAAAAAAACAAGAATGATGTGTATGGCTCAACGCAAACTCATACATACACTCATGTACATACATACGCATGCAGATACACAGACACATGGACACACACACACACACACACGCACACACACACACTCAAACGCACACACACACACACACACACACACACACACCACACACACACACACACACACACACACACACACACACACACACACACACACACACACACACACACACACACACACACACACACACACACCACACACACACACACACACACACACACACGAACGCACACATACGAACAAACACATTCATTATCAACACACACATACAACAACCCTAAATAAACACCAAAACCCCAATGCCTACTTGTACGACACCTTCTACACCACCCTCCCCATACCCCCTCCCATACCCCCTCCTACAGCCACCTCCCTCACCCACCTACGTCCCTCCCTCCTCCCCCACATCTCTCCCTCTCTCAACCCATCCCACATCCCTTATCCTCCCTCCCTCTCGTTCGCCCCTCATTCCCCCACATCCCTCCCTACTTTACGCTCTTCCCTCTCCTACATCCCTCCCTCCCTCTCCCACATCTCTCTCTCCCCTACGCCCCTCCCCCAACGCCCTTTCCCTCCCTCACATCCCTCCCTCCCACCCCATCCCCTCCCACCCTATCCCCACATCCCCCCTAGAATCCCTATCCCTCCCTCCCCTATCCCCACATCCCTCCCTCCCACCCTACCCTTCTCCCTCCCCTATCCCCACACTCCCTCCCCCCGACATCCCTCCCTTTCCCAAACCCCTCCCCCACCCACCCTCCATCCATCCCCCACCCCCACCCCCCTTACCACCAGAGCATCAGCAAGTCAAAGCAAAGCATTCCTTGGCGAAGAGAGTTGCTTGCAAACAATTAATGGGACAGAGGATCCAGTTACACTTGGCAGCTGCACAGGCTCTCCCATTGATTCGCCCAGACCAACGCTGAACGGACCTCCCTCAGGCTAGCTCTCTCGGTTGAAATACGGAGGGAGATTTCTCTGTTTCTCTGTCTGTCTGTCTGTCTGTCTGTCTGTCTGTCTCTCTGTCTGTCTGTCTCTCTCTCTGTCTGTTTTTCTGTCTGTCTGTCTGTCTGTCGCTCTCTTTCTTCTCTCTCTCTCTCTCTCTCTCTGTCTGTCTGTGTCTATCTGTCTGTCTTTCTTTCTTGCTCTCTCTCTCTCTCTCTCTCTCTCTCTCTCTCTCTCTCTCTCTCTCTCTCTCTCTCTCTCTCTCTCTCTCTCTCTCTCTCTCTCTCTCTCTCTCTTTCTCTCTTTTCTCTCATACTCTCTGTCTGTCTGTCTGTTTGTCTCTCTCTCTCTTTCTCTCTCTACCTATCTATATATCTACCTATCTCTCTCCCAGTATCTCTCTTACTATCTCTCCCCTCTTCCATCTATCTGTCCTTTCCCCTTTTATCCACCAAGTGTGTGTAAGGTCGTCGACTTTGGTCTCTATAGGTGTGGTCCGTGGCACGAGTTCCCGGCGTTAGTGTGACCTAAATCCAAAATGGTTCTATCAATTTAATTTCCCCCTTTATAGAGGACCTTCGCTTTTTTATCGAGGGATCATCCGTGACATTTCAAGCTAAGTCTTACAAGCGGGAATGAAAGCACAGTATCCATAAGCACTGCATTCGGACAAGCACACTATCCACAAGCACTGCATTCGGACAAGCACACTGGGTCTTCCACCCACTCGTTCTGCTCTGGCTGCTCGACCCCGCCCTGCCCGGCTTGGGGTGCGCGGTGGCGGACCTTACCTGTGTGACACGTGCTCTATAAACCTGCTCTCTGGCGCTCTCTTCTCTCTCTTTCTCTGGTTTTACAGCTCTCTCTCTCTCTCTCTCTCTCTCTCTCTATTCTCTTCTTTCGTTCCTCT